GTGGGGCCGGACAGGAACAAGATGGTTGCCTGCCTCCGAGCAGGCAACAGGAGCCCCGCGCCGGGTGGGCAGGACAGTCTCCATCGCAGGAGCGGTGGCAGCGATCCCAGCAGATCTTCCCTGAAGCGGTTTGGTGTGGATCTCCTCCGGCCGGGTTGTGATGAGCTACCCGTGCCAGAGGCCGCGGCGGCCGCAGCGGCGGTGGCGGCGGCGGCGGGAGCGCTGGTGGGGGGAGGGGCTGCGGCAGCGGCGGGAGAGTGCAATGCAGTAAAACTGTCCAGTCCTTGCGATGTTCCAGTGATAGCGATGGCCGAACTTTGTCTGAGGAGCAGGCTGCAATGCTGGGGTCCCCAGCCTCCCGGGGGCGAGAGTCAGAGACCCACTGCAGATCTCCCTTGCAGAGGGCTTCAGACACCGGGTTGCCCGGTCGCCATCTTGCCGCCTCTCTCTTTCCCAGTTTTATTAGAAATGAAGCTTCCCCCCCACCAACTACTTTTACATAGAACAGCTTGCAGAACTAGTGTCTGGTATAAAGCACTCTGGGAAACAATGGTAACTCCAACTATACCACTGTTCTCCTTCAGAACTTAGACTCCCTGGGCACACCTCCAGTTGCCTTCTTTGCTTCACACGGTGACCATCTGTTATCAGTATATGAATCACTGTCCAACATTAATGCCTGTGATCGAGTCTATGCCTTGTTTATTCCAGAATATGGCTCCTACAGATTCAATGTTTATTTCAAGTAATTGATTAAGTCGCTATAGCACTTGCCAAGTTGTGGTGAACATTATATATATGTACATGTATATATATTATTCACCAGATCATGAATCAGGCCTAATTTTTTATTTCCCCCTGTTTCTAAGATAATGTCTTACACAGAGTAAGAACTGCTTTTGTGAATGAATGAATAACTTCCAGTGAATTATTTTAATGGAAGGACTTCAGATATTCGGTCAAGCTGATGGGAGTGTTGCTTTGGACCAGGAGGGATATTGGTGGCAACTGAAAATAATCAGAGTAGAAATCTCACTTACTTTCACAGCATCCACTTGCAGTACCTGCTAAACTCTGCTTCAAATCTCTGGGAGTATGCATGGGCCACTGGCTTAAGTCACATTAGATGCTATTCTCTGTCTCCCTGTTTTGACTTTTAATTAACCTAAACTTGAAGATCAAAATGCAGCCACATCTCCCCAATTTCCTTAATTTCATTTCCTGAATTGCATTATTGTCTGGCAGACTCTGTGGTCTAATTTACATGACAAAAGAGAAAGGACGTGATTACAAATTAGACTTGTAATTTGTAAATTATCTCGCTACTGAGTATTTTACAGACATAACATTACCAGTTTCTACCATAGTTTTGAGGCTGCCGAATATTATCCTCAATATAAAGATGGAGGCATTGAGTGACTGAAAGTCACAAATAATTGGCTGATTCCTCAGAACTAGCTTATAATAGAACCTCTCCTGGTATCCAGGGTTTAGAGTTTCTTTTCCTCCCTTTTCAGTGGTGTTTCTTTGTGATAACTCACCTCCTTAATAAGTAAGGGACACATAGTAGAAAAGCTTTGACAAAATAAGCAGTGTTCAATTTGTCAGTGTTTTGATGAGTGTCACTCCCGAAATGTCAGAGCTACGGGATACTTTTACGTCTTGTAGAACTCCTTGGACTAGATCTCAGGCAAGAAGTAGGAAAACGAAAATATTTTATTTCCCTTTCTTTAAAGCAGAGGTTTTCTGTTTTACCACTCTTGAGGTTTGTAGGAAGGATATGTAGTTCTTGTTAAAAGTCAGAATCGAGTAAACAAGTATATACAAGGGACCCTTTTTCTGTGTTACTAGCTTTACTATAATTTGGAAGTTTAATGGCAAAACAGCTGTGTTAAAAGCCCTCTCACAAGGCAAAGAAGGAAGAGGCACACATTCCAAAGAAAATGGGCAATATTATGCAAAGGCAATTCATAAAAGATGATCAACTTCACTAGTAGTCAAAGCAGTTGAAATTGAATAGCAATGAGGTATAGCTTATAATCTATCACCCATAAATTTGCAATGGCTAAAGTGACTGATAAAACACAGTATTGGTCTGCCTTATTGGTCATGCTTTATTGGTTGGAGTGTAAATTAGGTTCCATTTTGACCTTACTGTAAGCCACAATTTTGTATATTTTACATCGATACCCAGAAATTGACTTTCATATTATGAGTTTGGTTTTGTAGATCAGTTGGCAAGCAATAAGACTTGAGAGTTGTCTTATGTGGCATTAATCTGCCAGTCAGCTTCAGTTTTACACATTTAAGATTTGCACATCTTTCTAAGAAAACATATTGTTTTCTTAGAAAGATGTGCAAAGTGAGAGACTGTCTTGAGTAAGCTTCCTGGAAAAACATATGCCAAAGAGAGTCACAAATAAATATAAAAAGTTCAAGGACATGTATATGCTCATTGCTGTGTGGTCTAGGGTTGGAAAAAGAAAAGGAAATCATGTAAGAACCCATCAGGAGGGGATTAGTAGTGTATCGGAATATCTGACAATATAGGGTCTGTTTAGTAGCTTGGGCTTGGAGTCTGGCAGACCTGGGTTTGAATCTTTGCCTATCATCAGTGAGCTTTGTGATTGCAAATGAATTACTTAACCTCTTTAAACCTCAATTTTCTCATCGATAAAATGTGGACATTTTATGTTATACTATTTTAAGGGTTAAATGGGTTAATTCTCTTCAGCGCTTAGCACGAAGTCACACACATTACAAATGTAATGTATTGTACATTACAAACATGCAATAAATCTACAGCCAATTAATGTTGTAGAAAGAGTTTGAAATTATGTACATATAGGAATATTTACCTACAAAGATGTTTGAAAGAAGGTCCAACAATAGTGGTAAAGTGGTTATCTCTGGGTAGTGGGCTTGGGGTGAATTTTATTAAAAGACAAAACAAACTTTTTCTATAGTATCTGAATTTTCTTTACAATAATCATACTGGTTTTGTTTAATCAGAAAAATACAAGAAAATTAATTTAATTTAGGAAAAAACTTAAGTACAATTTAAGAGATGTGCGCTGAGCATGCTTTAAAGAAAAATAATCACAGTAATCTTTCTTTTATTTTTATCTTTGAAAAAATTGAACCTCAAGTGCACACTTGGGTTAATCATCACCTTTTAGTGATATCAGGCAGGCTAGACCTCATCTGCTCTACATTCCAGGCATGGATTCTGATTACACTTCCCAGATGCAATCCTATTCCCCATTCCACTCTGTCTTTGCATCCAGATAGGACCAGATAACTGGTTGTCACCAATGAAATACATGTCACTTCTAGTTGGAACAGGTGTGCCTGTTCCATGCTCTCTCATTCTTTATCCTGCAACTGGAAGAAAGGGATGCCCAGGTTGTAGGGAAAGGTATTATCTGAAGGTGAAAGTGGATTAGGAATGTCTGCATTGATTACTGTGTTGGTCCAATCTAACAATTATATATCGTTAGTCTACACATGACCCTCTTCTAGCCAATTAACTAAATTGTGTAATGCACCACTGTTAACTTACCCCCAACTTAAGCCCTTGAACATTTCTTGCTCCTTCCCTTTGAAATTCTCTAAATATATATCTAGGGGCAGGATTTCGGGATCTTTATGGTATGCAAATGTTCAGCTTTAGACAACAATGCCAAACTTCTTTTCAAGGTGTTATATGCCAATTTCTAAAGCCATGGGTAATATATGTTGCTCCGTATCCTTGCTATCACAGTATTATTATCAGAGTTTTTAATTTTGGCCATTTTGAATGGGAATAAAATGGGATCACACTGTAGTCTTGACTTCCTCCTATTTTTTATTTTGAATCAGGGTCTCACTGTCTCCCAGGCTGGAGTGCAACTTCCCCCTCAACCTTTCAAGTAGCTGGCACTACAGGTGTCTGCCACCATACTGAACTAATTTTAATTTATTTATTGGAGGCATGGGGTCTTGCCATGTTGCCCAGACTAGACTCAAACTCCTGGGCTCAGGTAATCCTCTCACCTTGGCTGAGGTTGCAGGTGTGAACCACCATGCCTGACCTTGAATTCCATTTGCATGATTACAAGCGAGCTTAAGATGAGATATTTCTGAAGAAAAAAAAACAAAAACAAGAAAAAAGAGCTTGCCCTAATAAAAACTAAAATTAATTTATAATCAAGATAGAATGGTGCTTGTGTGGGCTAGACAGATTGACAAATGGAGTGGAATAGGGACTCTGAGACAGATGCCTTTGTTTTTGGAGTCTTGCTATATGACAGGCTGTGTGGGAAAATGTAGAACAATTCAAAAACTGGAGCTAGAAAATTTGGCTATATAGAGAAGAAAGTCTCTGAGTCTCTTTCTCACATTACATATAGAAATGAACACTAGAAACTAGGTTAAATATTTAAATGTCAAATGCAAGACTTTAAAGCTTTTAGTAGAAAAACAGAAGCAAATATTTTTCTGACTTTGGGGAAAGGAATAATTTATTAAAGCACAAAAAACAATGACCATCAAATAAAATAGAAACAAATTTAAATATATTTTTAAAAGATATTTAAATTAATATATTTAATGTCTAAAAATTAATTGAAATATATTTAATTATATGTTTTGTTCATCAAAGATGTCATAAAAACAATGAAAAGACATGCTATAAGCTGAGAAAATATTTACAGGACCTATGACAACTAGTAAGGCAAATACATAAAACATTCTTACATGCTAACAAGAACAAGGAAAATTGCCTAATAAAAATTGAAAAATTCCACAAACGTGTTCTACAGAAGAATAAATCCTTACATGGATTACATATTATGTATGATGAAGTACAGAGTAATTTTTTCAGATGAATCAATGTATTCAGACCAGAAATTCATAAGAGAAAACACACTGAGCTTCCTTTACTTGCACCCCTCATGTTTCTGTTTCCTTCCCTCAACAGTGAATGCTTTCTCTCAAAAATGAATGTTCCCACTCCATTCTGTTGTCCTGGGTGTGTGAGCAGTGCTGATGTTCCAGAGGGCTAACACTTTGCAGGTGTAGAGGTTAGTGTCTGCATGCACATATGATGCTTACACACTCATGCAATTACACACTTATGTGCACTTGCATTCATTCTGGATTTATAAATTGAGCAGCTCTTTCATGTCAGGCATTGTGCTGGATTCTGAGGAAACAGCAATGAAAACAATTCTGGAAAAAGGCGGACAGTAAAAAAACCAACAAGTAGGTAGTTGTTATATTTGAGGGTGCTATGAGTGAAAACAGAACAGCAAAACAGATCAAATGATACCAGGATGGATGTGTGTATGCAGTTTTAAATTGGGTAATCAGAGAAAGTCATGATGAGAGAGCAGCCTTTGAACAAAGAATTGAAGGAGGTGAGGTAGCGAGCTAAGGTTATGTCTGAAGGAAGAGAGTATCGGGCAGAGGGAACAGTAAATGGAAAGGCTAAGAGGTAGAGGCATGGTTGACATGTCTGAGACATAGGGAGACCATATGACCACAGTGGAGAACAAGGGAAATAGAATAGCAGGAGGGGGTGTCAGAGAGTGAACAGGAGAGGAGCACATGATCATGGAGGCACTTGTAAGCCCTTGTAAAGACTTTGCATTTAACTCATAGAAATGGGAGCCATTGAAGGATTTTGTGGAGAGAAATGACATGACGTGACTTACATTTTGAATTGATCTCCTTGGCAGGCGTGGTAAGTTGAAAAGGGGCAAGAACCAGGAAGACCAGTTAGGAGGTAGTTGCATATATCCATGAATCCAGGTGAGAGGTAATGTTGACTTGGAGTAGGATTCTCTTTTGAAGACAGGGAACCAACAGTATTTGCTGAAAGGTTGGATATAACATCTATGAGAAAGAGAGGAGTCAAAGATGAAAGAAGTTCATTATGACTGGTGTTCCTCAACTGGTTGTTGTCCACCCATGTCCATCTGTCAGCTGCTTAAGCCCACTTTGCACTAAGTTCCTGCTTTCTTGTTTGTTATTTAGTTCTTCTCCACTAGAGACTTGAAGTATGTCTTGACGATCTGAAAGGGAACAATCCATTCTGAGAGTTTAACAGATTCTATTTCAATATGTTAAATAAAAATTCCACCATTGATCAAGTTGTCTATTCGATTGGAAACATGAGAAAGCCGCAGACACAATCTCTTGACTTTTATGTTTTTATTTTTAATTATTTATTTTCAAAAATTGACAGATGACATTGTATGTATTTAGTGTATACAACATGATGTTTTGAGATATTTACACATTGTGGAATGTCTACACCTAGTTAATTAGCATATGCCTTATCTTGCATAGCTATCATTTCTGTGGTGAGAACACTTAGTATCTACTCTAGCAGTTTTCATGCGGTATACTGCTTACTATAATCACCATACAAATAATAGATCTCTTATCTTATTCTTCCTGTGTAACTAAAATTTTATACCCTTTGACCAACTTTCCTCCACCACCACCCCAGCTCCTTATAAACACCATTCTATTCACATTTCTATGAGATTAACTTTTTTAGTGTGTGAGAACATGCAGCAATTTTCCTTCTGGCTTAGTTTACTTAACACAGCGGCCCCAAGGTTCACCTATGTTGTTGCAAATGACAGGATTTTCCCTTCTTTGTTGACTGAATAGTCTTCCATTGTGTATACATACCACACTTTCTTTATACATTCATTCATCTGCTGATGAACATTTAGGTAGACATCTTGACTGGTATGAACAATGCTGCAATAAACATGGGAGTGCAGATTTCGATTTCGTTCCTTTTGGATATATACTGTGGTGGGATTGCTGGATCCTGTGATAGCTCTGTTTTTAATTTTTGGAGGCACTTTCACATTGTTTTCCCTATTAACTGTGCTAATTTACATTCCCACCAGTAGCCAGAATGTGTGAGGGTTCCCCTGTCTCCATCCTCACCAATACTTGCTATTGTTGGTCTTTTTGATAATAACCTTTCAAACTGATATGAAGTGATATCTCATTATGGGTTTTTCTTGATGGGACTGAGTGTTTTTTCATGGACTTGTTGGCCATTTGTATGTCTTCTCTTGAGAAATGTCTATTCAGGTCTTTTGTCCTTTTAAAAAATAGGGTTATTTGTTTTCTTGCTATTGAGTTGCTTGTATGTCTTATATATTTTGGAATATAATCTATATATATCTTCCACATTCTACACACATATCATATATTCTCTATGTATCTTATATATTCTTATATACTTTTGGAAAATAATCTTTTATCAGATGTATGGTTGCAAATATTTTCTCCCATTCTGCAGGTTGTCTTCTCACTTGTCACTCTTGATTGTCTCGTTTGCTGTGCAGAAGCTTTTTAGTTTGATGAAATCCCATTTGTTTATTTTTGTTTGTTTCCTGTTCTTTTGGTATCTTATCCAAAATAATCATTTGCCCAGATCAATGTCATGGAGCATGGCTTGATGTTTTTAGTCGCTCATTTACACTTAATGCACAATTGCTGTAATTTTGCTTTTAAAAAAAATAATTTATTTACTTAAAAACCTTACTGAGCAATTACTACATACCAGACTCTCTGCTAGTGCCAGGGACCTGGAGATAACAAAGGCAATTCTCTACTTTCGAGAAGCCTGCCTTCTAGTGGGAGATATAGCAACGGAGTAGGTTAATACAGTGAGATTAGTGACAGTAGTGAGAACAAAGTTCTAAGGGAGCGTGAAGGATGGCACAATTTAATTTTATCTAAAGAATTCAGGAAAACGTACATACAGAGGAAGAGTTTGTAAGCAACTATGCAGGGAGCTGGCATGGGCGCTCCAGTAAAAGAAGCAGCATGTAGGGAGTATAAAAGAGGGTGGCACAGTGGTTGACTGCACGCATGTTTGTTCAGAATAGAAGTTTGGGAGTGTGTGAATGAATGGAGGAAAGGTAACTCTGAAAGGAAAAGCAGTGCTAGACCCTGAACATTCTTATACATGACAAGGAAAGATTTGAAGTGAATCCTGTAGGCAATGGGGGTTAGCAGAAGAGGTCCTCAGTAGGGAAATGGCATGATTAGAACGATGCTTTCGAGTGGTCACTCTGGCACTACTGTGGAGAATAGATTGGAAGAGAGGAGACCTTGAATTGGGAAACGAGTTGGTCTACTGCCATTGGCCCAACAAGGGATGATGGTGGCCCACATTGAACAGTGAGAAAAGAGAGAAGGAGACATCTTGGAAAGCTACTGAAAAGGCATACCTAGTCCAGTTCGGCTAAGAAAACCTTATGAGTGGATAGCAATGAGTCTAAGAGGATCCCCACATGTCTGTATTCGGGAATTGGATGGATAAGGACACATTACTTCATGTCAAGGAGTAATAGGAGGAAAGCAAATTTGAATGGAAGATGTGTCCAGAGTTTAAGGACTATGGCATAGAAAGGTAGAGATCACTAAGGAGCCATTCTGAAGTTTAAAAATGTATTCTCATACATTTGTATTTCTAACAGCAATGGCAAAACTTTTCACTATGCATGCGTTTAATAAATATATTTTATAGATACCTATGTACGATAAATAATCACCACTAACTGAGTACCAGAAAAGTTGCAGTTCAATCAATATACTCAAGTCCTACTGGGAACCTTGCAAATTAAAGGAAACAAACAAACAAAAAAAGAGCTATAAAGATGAGTGTATGGATTTCCCCAGTAATCCTACTCCTGGTTATTAAAGAGAAATGATTCAGTGTATATTAATGAAATTGACCTTGTAGATAGCATCTATATTAGTGGTCCCCACATTTTTGGCATCAGAAACCGATTTCATGGAAGACAATTGGATGGTTGGCAGAAGAATGTGCAGTCAGGCCTCACTGCTAATGTTAATTTGTATTTGCAGCCACTTCCTAGCACGAGCTTCGCTTCCTCAGCCCCACCTCAGATCATCAGGTATTTGATTCTCACAAGGAGCATGCAACTTAGGTCTCTCCTGTGTGCAGTTCACAATAGCGTTCCAACTCCTATGAGAGTCTAATGTTACTGCTGATCTGACAGGAAGCAGAGCTCAGGCAGTGATGTGAGTGATGGGGAGCAGTTGTAAATACAGATGAAGTTTGATCACTTGTCTGCTGCTCACGTCCTGCTGTGTAGCCGGTTCCTAATGGGCCACAGACCTGTGCTGGTCTGTGGTTCATGGGTTAAGGACCTCTGATCTATTTGACAATAAGTTGTAATAAAATGGTTTGATGTGCCTGTGTATATATTTCCCTCAAAGTAGAAACATGAAGATGAAAGAAATATGGAAAGATATTAAAATCGGTGTTAAAATATTGTTTATAATGATAACAATTATATGAACACATATATGCCAATAGAGTTCACTGGAAAAAAACATTAAAAACGAAAATTGTCAGAATGGTAAGATTATAGATAATTTTCTCTATCTTTTGTCCAAAATAAAGTAGGTATGGGAAATTTTTCAAAAGCTTTTTAAAAATGTGTATATTAATTTGCAATAAAGCAAACATATATGTATAGATATGTTCAAAACAATTATCTAATTGTGTCTTGAGTACCTGAGGAGACTGTTGTAAAGAAATGGAAGTAGTTTGAATGAAGGTAGAGGAGAGAAATGAGAAGAAAAGGAAGCAAAAGAATGAGAAGCTCAGTGTGGCAGCAGCATCTCTTTGTCCCTCTAGGGAGTCACAGAGTGACATTAGGGGCTCATGATCCATGGCTGTGGAATTCCCATGTCACGGTGGGTGTCACGTGAGGTAGGCGGCATGAACTGCAGTGACCACCCCACCTTGTTTCCTTTACACTGTTCCTGTGCTAGGCCATACAACCTTGGGGCTTGTCTACAGTGGAAGATCTGAATGTAGATTGGTGGTAGGAGTTAAGACAGCTACAGTTTCTTTTGTGTGTACATTTGGTTTCATTGACACATTAACCACAGGAGAAGAAGAAAATGCCACAAGGTGTGGGGTTAGTATGAACCGGGCAAAGGAACTTTTTTTTAAGAAGAAAAAAAGCATTAGTGCTACACAGACTTTCCACGATTCCATAGTCACCACGAAAGCCCCTTCTCACCACAGGAAGCACGCTGACCATTGGAGGAATAAAAGAGGCTTGTGAGGAACCCAGCCCTCACTCTCTCCCTGCACAGCTCACAGGACTTCAGCCATGAGACTTCTCATCCTGGCCTGCCTTGGCATCTGCTGTCTCACTGCATACGTCGTGGAAGGTAAGTTGAGAAGTGGTCTATGAGATAAGGAACAGGGACAGGAGGCAAGTGGGCACACGTTTGGGGTTTGACTCAGATTTTGAAGGGAGAAAACTGCTTTCCCAAGGTAAGCCTCAAATTTCCCATGTGCAAAAAAAGGAACGATGATTTCAACTATAGGGTACTTTGTAGACTCCCAAGACAGAGAGAACTTGGTTAGTATCTGGGTTCCTGCCTTTCCTAACTAGGTGATTCAGGATACATTTCTTAACCACTCAGGGCCTATGCTTATTTATCACTGAATTGAATATAATAATAGACATGCTCACCTAAGATTAAAGCTGAATAAATCTTATGATTGATTGATTGATTGAATCACATCAGATTTCCCTTTTTTGATTAATGTTAGCTATGGAATGGTGGTGATGATTATTAATGTATTTGCTGCTTTTGCCCACTTAATGTGGCTCTTGATAAATTTTCAGTCTTTGAGTGTTCAGTCATGCTGTGGGGATGCACTAGAGAATGACTGTTCTGAAACAAATCAATGTTTTCTATTTTAAAAAAACCAAAGATGACTGGAAGCTCATACTTTCATTTTCAGAAAATCAATATTACCTTCAAGTATGTGAGGGACTCAATTATAACTGCCATGAATGTTACTATTTATAAAAATGTTTTTGAAAATTTTGTAAGACATCATAAAATAATAAGTGTGAACAGGGAGATCAGCACCTTATACACAATTAAATAAACCTGCAAAACATAGCCAGGCGAGGTTCAGATAAACTCAAATGCTCAACTTTACCTGAGCATTCAACAGATATTTCTTTTTTTTTTGAGTTGGAATCTCACTCTGTCGCCCAGACTGGAGTGCAGTGGCCGCTCCCGGCCACCGCAGCCTTGACCTGCTGGGCTCCGGCAATCCTTCCGCCTCAGCCTTCCAAGTAGCTGGAACTACAGGCGAGCTACCACGCCAGGCTAATTTTTTTGATTTATTGTAGAGATTAGGTCTCGCCAAGTTGCCCAGGCAGGTCTCGAACCCACAGGCTCAGGCAATCCACTCACCTCAGCCTCCCAAAGCGCGGGATTACAGGCTGAGCCACTGAGCCCGGCTCAACAGATATTTCTTAATGGATTACTTTTCCTACTGGCTGGAGTGAATCTGTAGACTTATTTGTATTCTAATTTGCAGACTTATTACTTAGACTATAATATCATAACCTGATCATGGATGGCCAAGGGGGTCTGTAAAGAAAGGTGGCAAAGTCCTGAAACTCCGTGAAATCGTGGACAAAACAAAAACACCACTGGAACATAAACATTGACTGCCAGGGGAGGCCAAGTGCTGATCTGTGGCTGGTTTTTGGCTTGGACGACAGGTGTACCATTTGGCAGAAGCCGGGATCTGGGTGGGATAACGATACTGCTAGAGGCTGAGGAGAGCTGCAGACACTTGCCTCACATTCCCATGTTTGCTACTTGAAGGAGCTCTAAAGCCCCACTGTGCTCAGTTCCTTGTGTAAAACAGTGGGCAAAACAATCTCTGCTTTGACTCAACTCTGCAACTTGAGTGAAGTTGACTCCGTATGGAATAATACAGGCACACAGACACAGCTAAGAATAAGGAGAAGGTTTTATGGTTTACAGTACAGTGCAATAAGATTTTCTGGGTCTTGGGAGTCCATGTTAGATACTTCACAGAGAAAAACCTTGTTTCTTAAGTCGTGACAAAAACAGAAAAAAAAAAAAACCACCCCAGATTTTCCTCTTTCAAAGGCTTCAAAACAGCTCAGCATTAAAAACAAATTGGCAAAGGTAGCAGGTAAACATGTGCAGGCTGGCACTGAGAGTGATGGAAAGGGGCGGTAATGACAAAGAAAAGCAAAATCAGTGAATGCCTTTTGTTTAGTTCTCTGCTTTAAAAAATGCCTTCTGATAACAACAACACTACAGATAAAGATTGGTCATTATCAGTGGTTACTTTAAATGCCTTTTGAACTGCCTGTTTCTCCGAGAGCAAAGTCCAGTCTCTACAGCTAAGGAGAGTATCAGAACTTAGAAACTGTGATTAGATTTCGCCAAACCCTTAATAGTGTTAACTCTCCCAAGTTGTTTTCCCTTCTGCTACAAGAGATGGTTCTCTAAACTTAACAGCTTAATTCCCAGTGGGCCATTGCTATTGAGGATGAATACCTTAGGAACCACTCCCTTTATACTTCTCACATTTTACCATTTAAAATGAGAATTCCTTTCTTTAATTATTCAGTCAAAGGCCAGCTGCTTTCCCCTATTGAATACTGCCTTGCAATATTCAAGTTACTCTTTACCACATGACTCTTTGCTATCTCATTTAGAACACTGGAACATTCTTCCCTATTTGAAATCACCTTCTCTCTTGACCTGTTTGTTGCCTGACCCCCTCACTGGAAGATGTTTTCCATGAAAACAGGGACGATGTCTGCCTTAATTAGTGCTTTAAGCACGTGGGACTCAACAAGCACTCAGAAGATAGTTGATTGTATAAATGAATAAATTAATGAATGTCACTGGGGCATCTGCTAGCCATCACAGGTGTCTTGATGAAAATGGACACAGAGAGGGGATATCAGCTTGCTATTTTCTCTCAGTATTAAATTCCTGGAACATTACTATTGATTTACTTGTTTAATTAAACATGTACTGAGAATCTATAATGTGTAAGAAAGTAAGGATGCCAGTGAGTCATCTCCCCCCAAAAGGAGCAAAAGTCCTGATATTCTTATAACACTCTTAGAGTCATTTAACAGGTGATTGTTCCCATGAACTTGATAATTGTTTTATTGTTATTTGTATCATTTATATATAGTTTGCTTTATTTTTGTTCTCTCTGCTTTTTCTCTTCACCAGGTGTGGGAAGTGAAGTCCCAGATAAGAGTATCTGTGTGAGTCTAACTACCCAGCGACTGCCAGTCAACAGAATCAAGACCTACACCATCAAGGAGGGCTCCATGAAGGCAGTAATGTGAGTTTGTCTTTCTCAAAGCTGGGTTTGGTAGGTACAGAGAAGAATAGAAACATAGCAGATAGAAATGCTTCCCTTCTCAGGAAAAATAAGTCAGCATGGAGGAACACTTAGCCAATAGCCCTTTTATTTTTCCATATTAATCATGTAGCCCCACCAAATAGTAATTATTGAAAATATCTGGCCACCAAGTAAAGAATAAAAGTCCTCCTTTCTGACTTAACTTAGCAGAAGAGTCTGACTGGAAGCCAGAGGAGTACTGAGCCCAGCTCTGAGGGCAGGTTTGAGAGCTGGCTGGCCCAGGGTAGGATTTGCCTGCATAGCCACACTGGGGTGGGTATTTAGGGCTGGAGTTAGGCAGAGTGTCATACTTTATCAGTTGCTACATCTCAAGGAAAAGAGTCCTAGGTGGTGCCATCTCTTTCCAGGATCTCATATTTAGAAGTAGCAGCTCTTCCCAACACATAATTGCAACCTTCACCCTAAGAAATTAAAAACAGGAATCACCTTTGATCCAAAAAATAAGATGAGTATGTTTGAGGAGAATATGTAATAATGGAACTAGATGGCCTCAAATGTTCTTTGGTTATGACATTTGGTAGCACTGATGAGAAAAGGAGCCTATGAATCATGGTGAACAAAGAGACAGCATACGACTTGCGAAACTTTCTTCTTTATAACTAGATGGCAGAAGAAATGTGTTTATTTATGGTCTTGTGTTCCTGAAAGACTATTGCTCCCAGTAATTTCTGCACAAGATCTCTTCATGTCCAGTCTGATCTGAATTCCTAGTCCGGAGGCTTTGAAAACATGATTAATGTTGCCTATCTTTTGCTTGCATTGCAGTTTTATTACCAGACGTGGCCTAAAAGTCTGTGCTGATCCACAAGTCAACTGGGTGAAAGAAGCAGTCAAGAACATAGACAGCAAGTCCAACACCAGAAGAAACACAATCCAGACCAAGCCAACAGGAACCCAGCAGTCTACCAACACAACAGTGACCCTGAGGGGGTAGTGGTCTTCTGATAACCTGTTCCTTTGCTAGCCAGCCAGTTCTTTTCACTTTATAAGTCCATGGACTAAGTAGGTTATACGTACCTCTTCTGAACGTGCTGCATGAATCAAACTATTCTTTTGTATTTTTATTTTTTAATGTCTTGAATATTCATTTAGATGCTTTAATGAATAAATATTTATTATAAAGAACAGTTCCATAGTCTATTCATTGTATGCTGGGAAAGGTGATATATCATCTATGTTCTATTTCTTTCCTCACTGTACCTCTCTTTGATGGTATCCATTGGGGGCAGGAGGTCAGCCAGTGTTAACAGGGATGAAAGCTATAATCATCCCTCTTATGTTCCAGTTTGCAGTGGTTCTTTCTCCATGAATTTCCAGTTACAACTGTGAAGATGGCAACAATTCAAGATCTGTTTCAACTTACCTTTATAATAAAGTTCTATCTATAGAATAAGGGAGAAAAAAATCCAACTATCACTGAGTTGCCTTTCTGAGGGTCCACTGCTCAAAAAGTGCCTTCACTCAAGTTTCATCTCGAGTGAATTCTTTTACCCTTCTTGGTTTTATTTTGATCTCCTATCAAAGAAAAGACTCATCATTTCTTTCATTTGTCTGATTAGCAAAAGTTAGGTTTTGGGTGTAAAGAAACCTTAATCAAGTAAAAACCAACATCTTTTCAACTGGGCAATAATCTCATCGCTTGACTGTGATTTCTGTGGTTGCCATTACTCTAGTTATCATACAAGTTATGCTTTACTGCCCACATGCTTTTAATGCACCAAATACTGTCGCATGGAGCATTTCTTGATGTGATCACAGTTTGCAGTAAACTTTTAATTAAATGTTCATCTGGTCGCTCAACACCCCAGACCCATGCTTTCTCATTAAAGTGCTCATTTGTTTCATGCTACGGTTCTAAGTAGCTAATGACATATACAACTTGTTCTATCTGACTCTAAACAGGAAGAACTGACCTTATCTTGGTAGTTTTAAGTAAGGAGAAAAGTACCAGCTGCTGTCTAGTCCTGAGGGAACATGCAGTATCAATACTTTGCAGAGGGCACCTGAAGGAAGCTTGCTGGAATCAGCTAAATTCTAGTCATACATCTAGTGGAATTGAGCCGAAACCATTAAAAGTTGCCTCCTAGCAAAAGCTGGGTCTCCTATCCTGGTTCATTGCTATATGCCTACAATAATTTTCAAAGATTATTTTTAAAGAAAACAAGACATTAGTAAGAATAGAACTCTTACTTTATGAGAGGTGAAAAATAGCAAAGTCACAAAAGATGAATGAAATAGTTTCCTGGTTTAGCTATGTATTTGTGTTTCCCGAATGTCTCCCAGACTCTAGGGATTTACATGAGACAATAATAGGATGTGTGGAAGGATCTAGGCCATACTTGACTTTTTATTTTGTAAGACTGTTCTATTTTTTATAACAAATACTTAGCTTTATTTTTATGTAACTGGAACTATTTTCTCACTTTACAAACATTAACTCATTTAAACCTCAATTAACGAATGAGCTATTCATTAACTCATTTAGACTTTAATTAAAGAGAAAATAACTGAGGCCCCAAAAGATTAACTGGCTTTCTTAAGGTCCCTTGATCAGTGAGGGGTAGAGTTTGGATTTGAACTGTGGGAGCTTCAAGATGTTGATAACTATGTCACAGTGTCTTCCTCTCTTCAGAGGACAGTTCCCATAGACCATACCATATGTAAAGGATATGTAACGAGATTATTCAGAACTACATAATTATCTAACTTACCTACTTCATTATCTAACCTACCTACTTCATTCATTCCATAAATATTTACTGAGGGTCTATTATGTGCTAGAGACTGAAGATACAGCTGTAAGTAGAACAAAGTCCCTGCTTTCTCAGAGCTTACATTCTGGTAAAACCTTTCCTTGTCTCCCTTTCCTCGGGAACTGGAGCCTTCCTTTCATTTACTCACTCACCCAACATGCACTTATGGCATGCCTCTAGATGCTTTGCTGGGTGCTGGAATGCAGTGGTGAGACCTCCAGGTTCTCAACTCCCAGGAACTTGCATCAGTGGAATTGCACAAGTAGGCAGATATTTTCAACATGGTGCCGAAGGATGGCATGAAGGGTAGATGGTGATGGAAGTGGGAGCAAAAAGTGATGCTGGGGAAGCAGAGGAAATACCACGAAGGTCGCTGTCTGCCAGACCAGAGTAAGTACTTCGATTCAAAGGCTGTAGGGAATGACCCTGGGAGGAAGATGGAGTAGAGAGAGTGAGAGAGGAGCCAGGAAGCCAACTGGGAGGTGCCTCTGGACCTGTGACTTTCATGCTTGGCCTGATGTGGTGCAACACACTTTTCTTCATGACACTTTGTTGCTTAGTGAGAGGGAGCATTTTAGCTATGAATGACTGAAACAGTGGCAGTGTAGCTCACCGCACCTGCCAAAGGCCATGGGACATGTTTCTCTTCACCAATTTCCTTGACTGCAGGGAACCAGACTGGGATAGGGGAAAATAGCATGTATGAAAATCACTTTGTTATTTGCATTACTCATTAGCCAAGCTAAGGTTGGATCCCTGGGAGCAAAATTGGAGCCAATCACAGAGAGGAAAAAAAGAGGCAGGGTTGAAGAACAATAAACTTGGTATTGGTGGGATTCCAGATATCCACAGGCCAAGCCTTTTCTGATTTATTCAATGCCCTAAATGTCTGTTGAGCACCCACCTAGCATATGGACACAGTATCTCGTTTGTTGTCATGAAGCCCATGACAGTGGCCAGAGTCACCCCCACTTGGGCATTCCAGACGGCCCAGCTCAGGGGTCTCCTTGGAGACCTTTCTGAGTTTTCCAGCCCAGAGGAGGCCCTGCCAATGTGCCCACTTAGCCCCTAGGCCTGCCTCTATTATTGCTTGTATCACCTTGAAGTACCATTTTATCTGTGTCTATGTTCTGTTTTACGTAGTAGTGGGGTAAGCACTGTGACTTTGATGTCTACATACTTAGTGCCTGGGACGTTCTAGACTTCCAATAAGTTTTTGTTGATGTATGTTATCTTACATGTATCATAAAAAGTTAGGGAAATCCTGAAGAGAGGATACTTAAACCCACCCTGGGGAAGTTAGGAAAGCTCTGCAGAAGAGGTAACATAAAAAGTGTACATAAGAGGGAGTTTGCGAGGAAGAGAGCCCTGGGTGGGCACTGCTGCCACAGGGGCCCACATGAATGAAAGCACAGAAGCAGGGAACTCAAGGCCCATGGGGAACTGCCTCTTTCTGGGATGGGTGGGTTATGGAGCTTAGGGATCACAGAGGAAAGAGAGCTTGAGGCCAGATTGGGAAGGTCTGAGTACCACGACAGATTGGGATTTTATTTTATTTTATTTTATTTTATTTGAGCTGGGGGGGCATCTAGTTCTATTGCCTAGACTTGAGGGCAGTGGCATGATCATGGCTCACCGCAGCCTAGACCTCCTGGACTCTGGCAATCATCCCTCCCCAGCTAATTTGTTTTTAATTAGTTTATTTTTTGTAGACACAAAGTCTTCCTAAGTGGCCCAGGCTGGCGCTGAACTGCTGGGTTCAAGTAGTCTTCCCACCTTGGCATGAGCCACTGTGCCCAGCCAAGGGTAGGATTTTTAACAGATGGGCCCAGGAGCAACTTACTCAGATCTGGGGTGGAGAACAACAACTTGGAAGAATATGGAAAATGGTCGAGAGTGCTAAGGATCGTCAGGCTATCATTGCCTTGGTTCATGTTGGAAGAGTTGCCAGCCTGAGTCTTGTCACAGCAGTGGTAATTGGGTGAAGAGGCCAGATGGGGCTGGACCGGCCTGGTTGCTCACTGGGTATGAGAGTGAATGGCTAGAGGGCTTGAACCAGCTCCGAGGGGTCCTGTGTAAGGGACTGGGTAAGAAAGAGTACACCTGCTTGGTATGATTTTGGTCTAACTTCTGGTGTGGTTACTAATAAATCCTGAGAAAAGTTACAAGCACCTAGGAGAGGGAGGCAAGGAGGAAGGACCTGGAAAAGTGAAAAATTGGTTAGCAGCCTTCATACTCAAGTGATTCAGACAAAAACCCAATCTACATTTCTCTTCCCCCTGACAGTCAATCCTCTTACAAGAACGAGGTAAAAATAAGGCTGAATATCTGTGAAACTCTTCATGCCCCTTGGGGGAAAAAAGGTACGTATAAATGGAATACAGTATCCACTGGGTGAGTCACTGGCGTTATTTTAAAAGGGATTTGTCACACAGCAGTGGGAGGCAGAGAGAAGCAGAGAGATGAATCTGTAATGAGAGGAAAAGAGAAATGAGGCAAAAGAAAAGGCTTTAAGTGGGAATCAGGAGGGCCCAAGCATGGCTGAAAGGTGACGTTTGATGAGAGAGGGTAAAGAAGGAGGCCAAAGGGAGCTTTCTTTTTTCTTGGGAGCGGCTAGTAAAAATTGGGACAGAGCTGAGACTGGAAGGCCAGCGGAGTAACCTGGAGCTATTATTCCGGATAGGAAGGAAATTTAGAGGAATCTCGGCTAAGAAAAACTTCCTTCCCACCAAAGGAAATTTCAACCAAATACAAGTGATGTCTGTTGATTTACTGTCATGCTGTGCTGCCTAGAGTAATGGTGTATATAGTCTGCTGCCTCCTGAAACTGGTGATTTCTTTCATCGAGGTGGGATTGCCGAATGAGATACTTGGGAAGCAGTTTCACATTCTAAAAGACCACATGGTCGGACCGGGATGATCTTAATCAGAGTCACCAGATGCATGAAGGAAGAATTAATCTACTTTCTCTGAAGACAGGATGAAAGATTGTGCAGGTGGGGAGGTAGATGAGCAAACACTGTGTTGGCAAACTAATCTGTCACAGGTAGTGGGTGAAAGAGGGAGGGGTCATCATATGTGCACTCTCTCTTGGTCTGTCTCTCTGGGGTAGAAATGGTGCCATGGTTAGGAATTTCAGTTGTGTCTGGATTTGGCTTCATCACTTGCTATACAGGTGACACCCTGGAGAAATTTCTCAATTTCTCTGTGTTTCTGTTTGCCTCATCATGTATGTAACTGGAATAATATCAATAGTTCTGACCTCACAGCGTTATTGAGAGGGTTAAAGCACTTAAAATAGAGCCTGACACCATGGTATGGGCTCAATAAATGTTAGCTTTTA